GGGTTAAGCCCTAAACCCTAAACCGCGCGTTTGGGACACAGGATTTGCTTAACAGCTTCATCAAACTATTCAATGATAAGAAACCAGAGGCATGAATGGCCCCATAGGGTTTATGGTTTAGAGTTTAGGGTGTAGGGACCCTAAACCATAGACCGTTCTGACGAGTTAGCGTCTGAGCAAGTGAGCTCTCTAACCCATGCCTAGATTAACTAAGGGGTTTAGGGTTCAAGGTTCAGGGTTTAGGGTTCCCTGAGCTCTGAACCCTGAGCCTTACGGATAATTACTCACCCCAGAGGTGCGAAGACGACAAGGCGCATATGAATATCATCATTACAGTTATTACTCTTTACTTTTAGTATCTTTATTCTTAAGACAACAATCAGCATTGCTCCTATGATTACTGCAACAACTATCAATGCTATTGCTATTCCTATTCTGACCACTTATTACTATTACTGTTGCTATTGCTATTACTGACAAGGCGCATCGGAATATGAGTCTTGAGAAGTGGGGCGAGACATGCAACCAACAGGGTGCCGATAAAGGATAGCTAACCTGTAAGCGCCTCCAATATACTCAGGTTCCCATGAACCTCAAGTACCATAACCTAGCATACCTCCAAAAAAGATAAGATTTTGTACCAGCACCTTCTTGGGAATAGAAAGTAGCTGTAAGTAACCCTGAACAAGAACAGGTGTTAAGGGTTTGGGGTTTGGGGGGTTGTCTACATTCCCAAGCATGTCCTCCTGCTCATTTCCATCAGCACAGCCTGCACAGGTAGCAAGTTGAAACTTGGAGTTTGGGTCCTAAACCCTAAATCCTGGACCCTATACCCTAAACCCTAAATCCTAAACCCTAAACCCTAAACCCTAGACCAGGTTTGGGCTCAGGCTGTCCCAGGGTATCGGCAACAGATACTGCAGGACCTAAGGAAGTTGATTCTTTCAAGGCAAGCCCTTGGGTCTTGTTTAGATCCTGCTGTGGATGGAGAAAGTCTACGGTTAAGGGTCTAGGGTTTAGGGTTCATAGTCCCCCTTAAGTAGATAGAATATGGCTTTGGGTACATTATTATAAGATCCCCATATATACCTTGTTCTATCTACTTAAGGATGACTACTTAGGGTCTATACGGGTTGGGGCTGAAGTCTCAGGTTTGGAGGTTAGGACTGCAGGGTCTGCAGTTTAGAGTTGAGGGTCCAATTCCAAGGTTTGGAGTTTAGGGTTTATAGCGTTCAGGATTTAGGGTTTATAGGTTTTGGGCCATAGGTGCGAAGGTTTAGGAGGCATTCGCGTCCATCTACGGGGCTCGGAGTCCTACTGGTTTAAGGGCCTCGGGTTTGGGGAATGCGCAAACGGCTTGGGCTGTAGGGCGTCGGTCAAAAAACTGTGTCCCGTCCCGTTTAAATTTTCACTTTGAGGGAGCCTAAACCCTAAACCCCTTATTGGAATCCTTTGGAAGTGGTTTCCCGAACCCTTTTAGCAACCCCAAGAATCCTCTCCACCTTATATTAAACCCACACCCCGACCCTCTAATACTCATTACTCCCAGTAGGTGGTGTATCAAATATATCTAAGGAATCTTTGATATTAGGGTGGTGGGCGGGTTAAATAGTAGGGGGAGGGGACTAAGGTCCACAAAGTAGCCGGAGAAAGGGAATATTCGAACTTCCTGGGTTGGCATCCTAGATGGGGGCTTCTGAGACACTACGGATCCCTTTTTGGGTTTGGGGTTTAGGGTTTCAGGCTTTAGGGTTTTAGGGGTTTAGGGCTTAAGGTTTAGGGTTTATCCATCCTAGTCGTTTGGGATATATGAGGGTGATCCCATCATGGAAATATGGTCTTGGGGTAGCATAGTTGCGGGCTCCTGTTATTCAAGCTGCTAGCTTACCCTCCGCCCCGAGCCGCAAACCTAAACCCTAAACCCTAAAACCTAAACCCTAAACCCTAAAACCTAAACCCTAAACCCTGACCCCCAAGCCCTGACCCCAAACCCTAGACCCCGAGCCCAAAAGCCTAAGCCAAAAAGCCTGAATCCGAAATCCCAAGCCACAGGCTCTCAGCTCGAAAGCCGTTTAGGGTTTGGGGTTTAGGGTTTAGGGTTTCGGGTTTAGGGTTTAGGGTTTAGGGTTTAGGGTTTAGAGTTTAGGGTTTAGGGTTTGTCTAGGGATTTAAGGCCCCATCCCCCGACCTGAACCCGAAAGGTATAGAAAGATGATGCAACTTTTGGGGCTTTTTTTGCGTTCTGGACCATCCTCGGAGGCCCAAGTAAATCCAAAACTCTATAAACCCTAAGCCCTAAACCCTACCTGGACCCCAAAAGTATGTAAAATAATGGCCTTTATGGCTACTTTTAGGGGTTTAGGGCTATTATGTTACATACTTTTGGGGTCTAGGTAAGCCCTAAACCCTAAACCCTGAACCCTAAGAATCTTTCTGCAGACCACCAAGCAAGGGAGGCCTGAAGTGAATCGTTCGCAGTGACATGCAGGTCATCTGCGAGCAGTTTAAGGTTGCAAGGGTTTAGGGTTTAGGGATTTAGGGTTTAGGGTTTAGGATTTAGGGTTTAGGGATTTAGGGAGTTTGGGGATTTAGGGTTTAGGGATTTAGGGAGTTTGGGGTTTAGGATTTAGGGTTTAGGGATTTAAGGTTCTTTGTTACAACCCCTCGGACTTTTGATGCCTGCCAAAACAGCACGGGGTTCTTACCACCAGGTAGGACTAAGTGAAGTAACTACCTTACTCTCAGAGGGGTTAGGGTTTAGGATTTAGGGTTTAGGGATTCAGGGTTTCGGGATTTAGGGTTTGGGGGTTAAGGTTTAGAGCTAAGATTTTGGATCCGGGGCTTTAGTGTTCAGGTTTTAGCGTTGAGGATTTAGGGTTGGGGATATATTGGTTCGTGGCTAATGTTTAGGTCTACAGAGGTAGGGGGTTGGGCTCTAGGGCTTTAGGACAATTTGGCCAGGCCGTTTGGGGGCCGCTTGCTTGCTAAGGTGTCAAAGATTCTAAGAGTTCAGGGTTTACGTAGGATCTACCCTAAACCTGAGTAGGTATATTAGGAAACACTACCTTTATCTACAATGGTACTGTAATCACAGGAGACTATAGGATATCACCTGGCCATCGGTCCAATTCGTCATCGATTCCTGGATCCTGCTGGCTAGGACTTTGCTGCTCAAGAGGTCCACGAAGAGCGCTGTAAAGGTACTAGTTTCCATTGCGTTGGCGCCACCATCTTCTCCAGTGCCCTGAACGAGGCTCCTCAAGCAGTCCACTGTTATGTCCTGCGTCGTGAGTGGGGAGCATAGCCATGTGTAGCCTCTATTGCACCCAAGTGCAAACAGAGTTCTGGGAGACTGCCGCTCCGCTGCAGTATTTGCTGCACGACACGTTTACGCTGCTCCATCTTGAGCCTGAACATAACAAATATATATATATATATGTATAGGTGTGTGGTTTGATTTCCGAAATGCCGTTCTGCAGCAGTAGCGCAAACGCTCCAGAGTGATGTCGATGGTGCAGTCATTCTCGCCACTAAGACTCCTCGGTCTAGCCTGTCCAGGTACACCAGATTTTTGCGGGTCCACCTACCTAGCCCTATAAACGCGACACCAACCCCTATAGAACTCCAGTTGTCATGTAATTTTCATTTCCTTGTCCATCTGACTTTTCAATACTGCATTACCCTAAACACTACACCCAATTATGCAACACAATCCTTCATCCTCCATGGCTCCTAGAACCCTGAACCTCGGGCCTTAGCCACTGAAGTCTGGGATTCGCGGATCAGTGCCGACCAACTGAAGATACGACATACGAAGGGGGACTTTAGTTGCCTCAGCCCCTATAATAAGGGCCCTATACTGTACGCATCATGTGACTAGAACTCTAAACC